GTGTGTGTGTGTGTGTGTGTGTACGTGTGTGTGTGTATTTGCGCGTATGTGTGTGTCTTTGTGCTTGAATGTGTGTGTGTGTGCCTGTGTACATATACACTGCATCCCCCTGAAGCGAAGACATACATTGACGGAGCACAGGTAAAGCAAAAGTTCTGTATGAAAGTGTTAAACAATATTCAGCGCCACGAGGCTCATTAGAATACTCAGCGAAAAAAACAAAAAAAAAAACTTTCTCTCTCTCACAACAAACGTCTCAGTAACCTTCTTAGAAATTCTCAAAAGAAGGTATGACATAAGAAAGGAAAATATAATCAAACAGTATAATATATACAAAAATATATAATAATTATATAATATATATACAAAAATGTATGATAAATATATAACAATAGAATTTTAAAATATAATCAAAAAGAGAAAAAAAGTTTTTTTGTTTTTTTTGATTGACGATCGTAAATGACACAGGAAAATCTATTAAAGAAATATGAGGGAAGACAAAAAAACTTAACACACATGATGGCGTCGGGTTGGCAACTTGGAAAAGAAATGAGATACAGACTGGGGGGGGGGGGGCGTGTAGATGAAAGATCTATTGAATCTATTGCAGGGGCGATGACAAAGGAGCGAAAAGGTTAACGCAATGGCAGCTGAGGAACGAAGGAGCTGCACACGAAAAGGAAGAAGATGAAAGGGCGAGAGAATATTTGCAAGCAGAGGCTGGCGTGTTGAAGGCGGTTGCTACACCTTCTATGCTCAGCGCAATAAAAGGGGGATCGCTATCTGCCTGTCTGCTTATCTGATTAGCTAATTATATGTACATACATATGCAAATGTGCACAAATCTATACACACGCATATTCATATCTACTCTTCTCTCTCTCTCTCTCTCTCTCTCTCTCTCTCACTCTTTCTTTATACATACATATATATATATATATATATATATATATATATATATATATATATATATATATATATATATATATACATATGCATGTGTGTGTGTGTGTGTGTGTGTGTGTGTGTGTGTGTGTGTGTGTGTGTGTGTGTGTGTGTGTGTGTGTGTGTGTGTGTGTGTGTGTGTGTGTCTGTGTGTGTGTGTGTGAGTGTGTGTGTGTGTGTGTGTGTGTGTGTGTGTGTGTGTGTGTGTGTGTGTGTGTGTGTGTGTGTGTGTGTGTGTGTGTGTGTGTGTGTGTGTGTGTGTGTGTGTGTGTGTGTGTGTGTGTGTGTGTGTGTGCGAGTATGAGCGCACATGCCCTAGCGACCAACAGCGACAGTTTCCCCACACGTGCCGAGCGCAGTCATCCCCAGCTCCCCGATTCCAGGCGCAAGGCGATGACGCCGCCCGGGCAGCCGCCTCTTGAAGAAATGCCAAATTGCCCCCCCCCCCCCCCCCCCGGCTTTCGAGCCCTCGGTCATCTCGCTTCATGTTCGTCATTTGTTGGCCTCGAGACTCTTCCTTTTCTCTGTGTTTGTCCATTACTCTCCTTTCCTTCTTTCTGTTTATTCTTTTTTTCTTGGGGGGGGGAGGGGGGAAGGGAGGGGAGTGGCATCTTATCTTATCTCTTTATCTCTAGTTTTTGATTGGTCTGTAGTTCTCTTAAATCGTTGGCTTTGTTTGTTTTCTCGTTTCTCTTTCTATCTTTCTCCTTCTCCTTATTATTCTCTCTTTCTTGATTTTTTTTGTTTTTTTTCTTTTTTTTGTTTTACCTTTAGTCTCTATAATTATTCTTCTTCCTTTCTCATCTATTTGTTTTTTTCCTTCCTTTCCCTTCATTCGTCATTTCTTCTTCTCTCTTTCTCTTCCATATTTTCCTCTTTTCATATTCGACTTTTCCATCATCCTTGCTTTTTCTTCTTTCTCCCTTCTTTTGGTTCTTCCTTCTCCATTTCTCTCTTCTTCCTTTCCCCTCTTTCGTCCTCCCTTTCTCCCCTTTCTAATTCACAATTTCTTCTCTTCGCTCTTCCCCTTTTCCGTCATCCCTCTTTTTATAATTTTCTATTCCCTCGTTTTTTACGTCCAATATTTCCCTCTTATCATTTCTTCCCTCTATTTCAATAATTTCTTCACTTCCCATTTCCTTCATTCCATTATCCTCTCTTTTTCCTCTCTCTTTCTCTCTCTCTCTCTCTCTCTCTCTCTCTCTCTCTCTCTCTCTCTCTCTCTCTCTCTCTCTCTCTCTCTCTCTCTCTCTCTCTCTCTCTCTCTCTCTCTCCCTCTCTCTCCCTCTCTATCTCTCTCTCCTTCTTCCCCTCCCTCTTCCTCTTCCTTCTCTCCCCCCCCTCTCTCTCCCTCTCTCTCTCCCTCCCTCTTTCCATCCCTCTCTCTCTCTCCCCCTCACTCTCCATTTCCGACTTCCTCTCTTTCTCCCTCTCTCTCTCTCTCTCTTCCTTTCTTCCCTCCTCCATTTTACGGTCTGAATTAATCCATGTTTTATTGGCCGCTTTAGAAACCTGAATCTGCAGTTACTGAAGTGTGACGAAATGCCCGGAAATG